GGAACGCCCAACTTGACGATGCTAAGCACTTTGACTCAAAAGGAAACAGAAGTTGCTCAAAGGGCCTTTATTAGAGGCGTTTCGAAGCCTGGCTACAAAGATGCCCTCAGATCCGCAATCAGACTGCAAGAGGAGTGCCAGGAAAAACTTAACCAATTAGAGGCCGTCGAAGAGGAAAAAAGCAAACAACTTGAAGAACTTCCCTCAAATAGCGATGCGACCGGAGGCTTAATGAGTTACTTGCGGAGAATAAGTGCTGAAAAGGAAGCACTTAAGAAGGAAATACAGGAAAATAACATAACCATCGATGACCTTACACACCAACTCGATGCGGTAACCAAAGATGAGGGTGGCATCACTAAGCTCCTTGATGATTTTAAGGAGGATAACATAGCATTACAAAGTAGAATAGAAGAATTGGAAGAGGAATTCATTAAACAAAATAGACTAACTACTGCGAGTCATGCCGCCGAAATTGCAGACTTTAGAGCTAGGCTTTCTAAGCTGTTGGAAGAAAAAAGCAGTGTAAGAAATCAGCTACAGCGCTTAGGAAAAGAATTAATGGAGTCTGTTGACAGAGAAAGGCAAGTAATGGTGGACAAGGCAGTGGCGGGGGAACAAATACGGCAACTTCAACAGGCCGTCGAAGACTTGGAGTACGAAATAGATCGACAGCGAGTAATAATCGAAGATCAAACTCGCCCTGAAGAAGAAAGGGAGGCAGCCAAAAGGGAAATAGAGGCTCTTCAGGAAAGACTGGTGGAATTACAAACGCAAATAGAAGGTAAGGAAAGGGAGCTGGGGCTTACCACCAAGGAAAAGATAAAAAAGCTCCTGGTGAAGTATGGCGTGCCGCTGGCATTTGCGGTCGCTATTTCAAGCGTAGTAGGAGTTATCTTGTCCGCGCTTAAGGCTACGGGCGCAGGCGTAAAAAAATTAGGCAATGGGCTGACGGACTTGGGAAAAAAGATGGCAGCCGGCTTGCCTGGGCTGCTTGGCAGTGTCCTTGGCCTGGCACTTAGGGCCGGCGGAGAACTGTTAAAGTTCGTGGGGAATAACATTTGGATCTTGGTCGTCGCTATTGGGGTGGTCCTCCTGAAGAAGATGAAGGGTTAATCTTATCCTTGTGTATTACTGGTGGCTTATCGTCGTCGGGTACCCGAGGTGTTCTCGACTGGGGATAAGTAAAGATAGTATTCGCACCGCCTCGATAATACGGAATTAGTGGTATAGCAGTCATGGTGCTAATGGGCTTATGACACCAAGCAGCATCTGTACTAAATTTACCCTGACCATTTATTCGGATGGCACCCGGCTTACCAGCGTGGGCACCAGAGCCGGCAACATCGCTGGGACGAACTTGAAGCTTCGCATATTGACAATTGGTTATCATATGAAAAGTTACTGGCGTTATATCTTCCGCGCTAGGCGGGTAGGGCTCCGATGAAAAATGAACTGAATGCCTATTTCCGCTTTTTTCCCTGTATGGCGGTAATGGGGTATTAGTCTCATCAACAAGTCTAAAGCCGGCATTACATGAATACCCTGTATTAGTGGATATAGTACATATTATCATTCCTAAGCCTCCAACCTTCACCCATAGCCCGGTGTCAAACCATATATCAACCGCATAAATTTCCTCCTCCTCCTCCTCCTCAAGGTAATGAAGGAGCCAATCCTCCTTCGCGTGTGGGTTATCCATATATACTAGAAAATAAATTCCATTCTAAATACTAAGTACCGTTAGAGTGCTGATGGTCGCATGATTGTAAGGTCGATCTCTTTGATCCTCTATGCTATTTACCGTAACCAGGCCACTGTCGTCTATTCTCATTTGCAACTTTACCTTCCCGTGACAGTCGGCAACCATACGAAAAGTCCAAACCGTTAGATTTTCGGTGCTATTTGTTGGTGGCTCTACGGAGAAATGCGTAGGCTCCCTGTTGTTCGTCTTCACACGCATAGGCTGCAGTGTACCATTGTCGTCTTGGAACCTAAATCCAACATTGGCATTACTATCTGTGCCAATGCAAATACTACAAAGGATCAACTTCTTTCCTGAGTAATTCAGGTTTACAGACATCCCGTCGACATCAACCCAAGATGCTAGGGTGTATTTTTTCTCGCCTGTGTAAGTCGTATAAACACAATCTACTCCGGATGCGTAGGGGTTGTTCATCGCCATATATAATAGCTTAGACCAATGCTTGCAGCTGTTAAGCCGGCTTTTAGTAAGTTATGGTCATATTCCTCGGGTATCGTAGGCATGACCTTCTTTGATACCTTAACTACGGGTAGCTTCGTTTCGTGTGATTTTTTTGGCTTCTCTACGAAGTGAGGAATGCCCTTGGTAGTATCAGAGTTCACGTCATTTGCCCCAAACTTCATGTCTTTGGTTGCTCGCTGCAGCTTGTTGTTGTAACCCACAACGGAATTGGTGTTAATAACCAAGTTACTTGGCATTAACCAACAACCAGGACTCAAGGCATAATCTAGCCGCACTTTAGATTGCTGCACCGCTAATTGATATCTCTGCACCGATTTAGATATGTCATTTTCTATTATTGCGGACTCAAACAGGGTTAGGAATTCCTGTTGCGTTTCCCGCGAAGCACCTTGGGAACCAACAATGGGGCTGCGGGTATTTACCTGCGCTCCCAGGGTGCAGTAGACGAATGCTTCAATGCTGCGGTTGATCCTGGCTAGGTTTCTTAAGCCTTTTCCTTTTAATAATACAAACGGATCCCAAGGACTGGGGTAAATCGTCTCAATCCTATCAATCAGCGTAACGTCATTCTTGCGACCACCCAAGTCGTAAAACTTTAGGACCCCGGGGTATTTTTGATGATACATGTCTGCCGGACGCACGCCGTCAACATGCCAAGCATAGATAATGCCCAAGCCATGCGTGGCGCCCTCCCGATAACGAAAGTCTCTTTGCTGCGGCTTAAACTCATTCATTAGYCTTTCTAGGGCAGCGGAATCGTAGTGGTTATTCATTCGATTGAATGGCTTTTCCCCCGGTAATGGTACATTAAGCTCCTTCAATATGCGTCGCATAGTAAAAGCAACGTGGAACCTTAGAAAGGCAATGTCGAACATATCCGCGGCAACCCCGCAGCCCTTTGTAGCCGCCCAGACGGCAAAGTTTAACTGCTGCGGCCAGTACTTAAAGTTAGGTCCCCTTAACCATTCGTGGGCTTCTTTTCCTGAAGTGTGCGTAAGGTTAAAATCCTTAAAGATATTCCTTATTACTACGTCAAACGTTTGCTTACCCACTGGAATCTTCAAATGCGTTACTATTTTATCAAAGTCGTTTATGCCACCTTCGGCATCATAAAATGGGTAATCTTCCTTGGTTATCAATAAATTCTCCGGGAAATTAGGCTGTACCTCCTTCGTTATTGACAAATGCTGTGCCTCTTTCCTCTTCTCATGCGGCCCCAAGTCCGCATTGCTGTACATTCTGGAGCCTTGGTAATAAATACCGTCGGGTCTTCTTTCGAACTTACTAGGGTCTGCATGCGGAAACATCTTCCTAAAGGCCCTCCAGTTCCAGTAATCCCGGTTGTCGTGATGTGGCTGGTCCTCAATATCATTCCCAAAAGCGTCGTACATACTATATATAATGGATGTTATACCATCAGCACCTAAGTTGTACCCAGATGTTCCCAATTATCACACTACGGCACCAATAACGGAACCTAACGAACTAAACGCTGAAAATTTCAGGCTTAATAAAGCAAATTTAATCCTGGCTTACTTGGAAGGGCAGACGAAACACTACGAAAAAGTCCGAAAAAAGTACGTCAGAGCCCGAAGTACGCTACATAAGATTGCGATAACTTCAGGGTCCATATCCGTAGTGTTGACGGGCTCCGGCGTTGCTACTTCGCTTACTGGACCGGGAATAATCGTTGGGGTTCCTTTGGCCGGCGTTGGGGCAGCCTGTGGTATTATTTCGGCTGTTGCTACGGGTATTATGAAACAGTTGTCAAGCAAAATATCCAAGCATGACACGACAATAGCTCTGTCAAGGGCTAAAGTAAATAC